TTGGAGCAAATAGTTGAAATCAAGCCAAAATATTAAATTTAACCTCAGTGGATTAAAAATTGAACAGTATGTTCATAAACTTGATTGCTCTTGCCAAAATAACCTACATTCTACACAAACATTTCTTATTTTTTTTTTATTCCCCAAAGCTGATATATTTTCCAGGAATAACTTTTTTTCTTCAGGCCTTTGAGATTCACAGAAATCTGAAGGCATGGCCTGTTTGATTCATGACATGGCCACTTCAAAATAAAAATGAAGACCCATCAACTTAATCTGAATAATAATTGTTAATTTTTTCGCTTTACCTCAAAATCTGTCATTTGTGTTATTAATTTATATAAACACATACTAGTTTAACATTTAGATTATGCCTGTGATAATACCTTCCCTCCCTGTCAACAAAGAGTATGCTGTCTGGTAACGGTTTATTTCTATCTTTATACATTGTGATGTTTATATGAAGAGAGCATCATGAAGCGAAATATTCAAATCTTTCCGCAAAATATCAACTGGCTGTATCTGTACTTCAACTGGACTTTTCCAACATTTATATGGCTGAGGTCATTGTGCTGACGCAGGCTCCAGGAGCGCCTGTCCCAGAAGCTAAAGGCTGTAAAACATTTTGTCTGCAAGGATTACAAATACCAACTGTTTTTGGTCCTAATTATTATCCCCATCAACTCTGATCAGTTTCACTACTAAAGAAAAGATTTCCCACAGAATAATAACGTCACTACTATGGTGGTTCAACCGTGCTTTGTTCACAACTGTTCTTTAAAAGGTTTTTGAGGCATTTACACAACTATGTTTGTACACAGTCCAAATTACACAAATCAGAACTGTATTTACTAGAAGTATGAAAATACATTAAACAGCATCAATACATCCATCCAATTACATTAATTAAAAAAATCTTCATTGCTAAACACCAAAGACGTGCTAGAACTTAAAAAATAACCTCCACCTAAGAAATAAAATGTTTAAATTGTATTTGAGTTGATATTATTATCAATAACGTTTAGATAAACCAAAATTATTCCATGATATCGAACTCAGACTGTTGGGATCCAGAGGCTTGCCCTCCAGAGGGCGCCGAGGATCCCTTCCTGTTTGTATGTTTTTCTGTTGGGATCTGGGGTACTGTTGGGATCTGGAGTTTCTGCCACCTGTCTCCAGCAGAGAGCGCCATGGGTCTCCTGAGCTGGAGCCTCCTGCACACCTGAGGATCATCAGCTGATCAGGAGACCTCCCTACATAAGCAGCGGCCAGACCTGTCTTCAGCGCCGGAGTGTTGACCAGTTTTGGAAAACCTGATCGAAGCCTGCAGCTTTGGAGGAGCTCATGTTTGGAAACCTGCCTGCCTGCCCAGAAAAGCCAAACCTGAAGATCCTCAGTCTGTGTCTCCCGGTTAGTTCTCAGGAGAGAACTAGGAGAACAACTCAAGGTCTGAACCTCGCTAGGCTGAAGCTAAGCTCTGCCGCTGCTAAGCTCTCTGCTGAATCCACAATCTCTGGACCCAATCGGTTCCCTCTCTCCACCGATCAATCTGAACCTCATCAGGTACAAATCAGAATCAAGACTCTGTCACGACATCACAGCTACCTGGCTAACCAAACAATCCCTCTCTGCAGATTACTCTGTGAAGCCAGTCCCGGACCAGTACCAGAACCAGTACATTCTTTATTCTGTGTGTGTTTACCAAATAAACTGTTGAACTTTTATCCAGTCTCCTGTGGTGTTCTGCATGTGGGTTTAATCACAGAGACCCATCATGACGCAGACTTTATAGAATTAAAATTGTATCTTGAAAAACTCATTGATATTGGCAAAATTGGTATCATCATCCAAAATGTTAATGTAACTTTTTATTGTGATAAAGGTGGCCATTTATATTCCTACTGTTTAATATGTAGATTAATTCTGAAGTTAATCGGCGTTGGTGTTGGTGTTTTTTTTTTTTTTTTTAATGATTCATATTTTTTCTTATTACCTACATCAATTTGTGCTATTGTGTGTTAGCCTAGCCAGCTAGACTTACCTGTGCCGTATACGTGGTGTATCAGTCTGGAAAGGAGCAAGTAGAACCAAATTTCAAAGGCAGGACCAAGGCTGGACTGTCATAGAATAAAGTTTGGACCAATCACATAAATGTTTGCAAAAATGTTTTTTTTTCTTTTAAAGAAAACCTCTTACGGCTGCCAGTTATTGACGGTTTAAAGCTACATCCAGGTCATTCAAGAAATCATAGAGGGCATCATTTAAACCTCACTTTGTTTTGTAGTCATGGTTACAAAGCAGCACGGTTCCATTAGGATTTATTCTGCCACATGTGTAAACTGCTGCCGGTTTAAGATCAGAATTTCTGAGCCTCATGCCCTGTGTCAATGATTGTAGTTGACCAGGCTAACTTTGTGTGTCTCTGTGACATAAATCAACTACAAGTACTGTGAATATTTTTTAGGTAGGACTTTGTACAGACTGTTTGCTGTCATGACAACCCTTTTACACAGTCAACCCTATAACATACAAAGCAAATAAACAGCTGACTAAGGTTGTCTATAGGTGAAACCTGCCTTCAGAGATAAACGTACAGAGAAGTAGGTTTCACCTACGCAGCTTTCAATAACAGTCATGCACAGAGGAGAACTGTGTTCTGTTCATCCAGAAAGTTGACATTGATGGATGTTACCCTATTTCCATATTTTTATTCAGGCATAAATAATATTTATGTTTTTAATTAGATAGAAATTAAATAACTAATAAAGAGAAATAACTTATAAAACTGCTTTATAAGTTTAATTTAATGCCCTAAATGACAGAAATATTAAAAGCGCAAATGTGACATCAAGCGGTCAAAACAAGCATATGATTCATATTCACAAGCTATAGCAATGCAGTGTTAGAGGCTAACTACTGTAGATAGCATGCATCCAATGAGAGAACATTCATTTCAGTGTTTCCAAAACTGAGATTTAGAGACGAAAAAAGAAAAATCTCCTGCGAGCTTAAGCAATTTTAAGTAAAGGGTTTTTCTTCTTTGTTATATCAGTGAGGGCAATAATTATGATCTGATAAAGTAAAAGGTCTAGAAACATTAGATCTTAAGTTTTCATCGCATTATAAATACAACTACATTTTTAGGTCACTCCGCTATGTAAATTTTTTTTTTAACTTTAAGATTTCTATTTCCAGTGATTTAAGTCAATATTGTGTCTTTAAAGGAGAAGTCTGGTCATATTCAGAATTCAAACTTCTGAAAGTACTTTAAATATGAAATTATAACATACTGTTCAATAAATGATACGTTTTTTTTTTTTTTTATTAATCCAAGTCATCTTGAAAACATTCTTCTTCCAAATGTTGGCTACATATTACGGGTTTTTTCTCTGGCCAGAAGTTCGATGGCAAATCCTCCCTCTTCAAGTTGGCGATCCAACGACCAACCCGTCCGTGGAGGATCAGGAATCAGAAAGGTGGAATAACTCTTTTTTTTTTTTTCAGTTTTACCCGAAGTACAGTATTACAAAATCCAGCTGCCATGCATGTGTGGGCATTGTCAGTTTGACTGTAGCTCTTGGAAATTTCAATGGTAAAGTCCTCTCAGAATCTTAATTTTTTGCTGTTGATTGCAGATGTGTATATTAGTTCCCATTGATTTTGCATGTAAAGCATCACTGCCGGAAGATGTCAGTAGTGAGGTGTTACTATATTTTGGTAAAAGTGGCCGCTCCCGGACTCAGTGATCGCAACGAAAATTATTATTTTAAATTTTTTACTGATTAACTCTAAAATCATTAAAGGAATAGTACACCCAAAACATGATTAGCCTTCATTTTCTACTCACCCCCATGCTGATCAACACTGTGGAGTACTTTTTTGATATCTCAAATGCATCTGGAGATCTGGGAGGCTTCTTGCTGTCTGCTGACATTCAAATAATGGAGGTCTATGGTGACCGAGGCAGAAAGGTCCATAAAAGTCCACAAAAAACGTGTCAATATTCCTCCATACTGCTCGTCCAATGTATTCCAAGTGTCCTGAGTGGGTAGCATCCAGAATTTACCCGAAACGAAGTCATTTAGAATGTTTTTAGAGCATAAACAGTAGTGTATAGGATTTCCTAAAAGCGCGTTCACGAGTCTACGGAAACCGCGGCAGACCAAACCAGATGAAAGTGCGCATTCAGCGTCTGCTCTGCCGATAATGCAAGCGTAGAAGAAGAAATGTGCTGTTTACCTGTGCAAAGAAAGAAACAACGAAAGAAAATGTCTGAGGACTTCAGTGTTGAGGAAGAGCATGAGTTCTTTGCCGAGCTGAATGCGCACTTTCATCTGGTTTGGTCTGCCGCGGTTTCCGTAGACTCGTGAACTCGCTTTTAGGAAATCCTATACACTACTGTTTATGCTCTAAAAACATTCTAAATGACTTCGTTTCGAGTAAATTATGGACGCTACCCACTCAGGACACTTGGAATACATTGGACGAGCAGTATGGAGGAATATTGACACGTTTTTTGTGGACTTTTATGGACCTTTCTGCCTCGGGCGCCATAGACCTCCATTATTTGAATGTCAGCAGACAGCAAGAAGCCTCCCAGATCTCCAGATGCATTTGAGATATCAAAAAAGTACTCCAGGGTGTTGTTCAGCATGGGGGTGAGTAGAAAATGAAGGCTAATCATGTTTTGGGTGTACTATTCCTTTAAGCTCCTGCATGCTAAATTATCAATCTTTGTTAAACAGCATTTCCTTTTCAATTATTTTATTGCATCTTTTTCAAAACAAGCATTCTTGCTTTTTCTCATCTGCTGCTTATGGTTTCACATACAGTGTTGTTTTTCTGATGTTTGTAATCAATTTGCAAAGTCAAAAGAATCTGGGCTCCTGGTTATCATGAACAGAATGACTGTGCAAATTTGGGCAGAGAGCTATAGATGATGAAGTTTACAGTACATCAAACATAATAATGTTGGGTAGATAGCTGGGCCAAATACTCACCATCCAATATTGAACTCCACGTGTGCATCAAACAGAGCAACCACAGGAGCAGTAGCCGCCCTCCATCCACTGACTCTGGATCTGATCAGGCCCTCCTGCTTGGCATGGCGGACCACTTTGATGAAGCCTGAGCCGTGCTGAGCGTTTTTCTCATCCACAAAGCTCTGCAAGTGCTCCTTCAGTTCCACTAAAAAAGAGAAACACAAACATACTCAGTTACATGCCGAGCTTTATACAAACCTCTTTATTCACAAAATGTAAAATTAGGTCAACCGTCTGTGTCAGACATGAACAAATGTTTGGTATCACTTTGTTGTGATACCAAACATCCATTGGGACACCAGTGGACCAAAGTGAGGGCTGTTATCCACAAATGGAGAAAAATACAGCCGACCACAAATAATCCCACTGGAAAAACGATATAGAAATAAGTGAAAATGTCTTAAATTCATTGTATTTACCCTTCATTTGAGTAGGTACACTGCAAAAAATCTAAATCTAGATAAGTCATTTTTTCTTAAAATAAGTGCATTTGTTCTTGAATTGAGGAGGTAAAAGAGACATTTTGCCACTGGAACAAGACAATTTACACTTAAAATAAGAAAGCACAATTGCATTGGCTTATTTCAAGTGCATATCATCTAATTATCTTATTTTAAGAGTAAAATTACTCGTTCCATTGGCATACTATTTCATTTACCTACTCAAATTAAGGGTGAATACACTTAATTTAAGACATTTTTACTTATTTCTAGATCGTTTTTGCAGTGTAATGGAGACGATTTGCCAATGGAATGAGTATTTTTACTCTTAAAATAAGATAATTAGATAATTTGCACTTAAAATAAGAAAATGCAATTATGTTTTCTTATTTTAAGTGTAAATTGTCTTGTTCCATTTGCAAAAAGTCTCTTTTACCGCCTCAATCCAAGAACAAACATACTTATTTTAAGAAAAAATGACTTATCTAGATTTTGATTTTTTCCAGTGTCCAGAGAGCCTTAACAGCTCGTCAAGGAGGTCATAAAAAAACAGAAAACATATACATCACAGTCCTTTTCCTTCATAACAATAAGAGATTGACTGACCTAAACCTAACCCTTATTCATGGGTATGTTAAAAGGCAAAAACCACTCCTGACAAAAAGCAACACAAAGATCCATCTCAAATTCATCATAAAGCGTTTTGATGATCCCAAAGACTTTAGGAAAATATACTTTGGACTGACAGAAAGGGAAATTAAATTCATGTTTATCACTGACCAACATTAATTACTCAGGACATCCACAAGATAATGAGATATACAGGGAATTAAACATCACAGGAGTACCCCAAATTATTGAAGGCTTTTAAAACACAAAACACAAATTTCTGTGATTACAACAGAAAGGCACGGAGAGAAAATATATAAAACAAACCGGAAACAAATGTAAAACTGACTTTGTTTCAGTGATGCAGGTTCTCTTTTTCATGAATAGTTTCCTAATGCACATAGTCGCTGTAAAACACACAGAAACACACAGGCAACGGCGAAACAATGAATATCATCATTCCTCTGTTATGATTTTGCAGCGTGGTAATCCTGCCTGCGGGCATGGTTGCTGTCACATTCTCTTTATTCGTTATAACCATCAGCCTGGAAGCTCTAGAATCTGTTTGCCTTTAATGAGCAACAGTGTGTTCCTGAGCTGGAAGAAACACTGATTCAAAGCATGATTGGAGTATCATATATAAACCCTCACTGTCACACATGCACATACGACACTCCCCAATATATATTATTTATATTAATTAGAAATTTAATGTACCCTATTTCTGAACTCTGAGTTGCCATTGCCAGCTATGCATTAAATATATAAGAATAAAAAATGTGGGTGGTAATTAAAATCAAATGTTTAGTTTTATTTGCCTGACAGCAAAATGTCAGTGGAAGGGCCGAACAAATAAAAATAAAATGTTGTTTTGATGTAGTTTGCAGTATAGCATTTAAGGCAAATACAATTAATTATTACATACCAACATTTCAGAGAGTATTTATTTGAAGCAAATATTGGTTATACCTTATGGCTATATAGCTTATATCTATGTAATGCTAGGAGTTACTAAATCTGGCTGGAAAATGAAATGTGAAGCTTATTTTGTTTCAAATATATTAATGCATTGTAAGTGTGAATTTGAAGTTGTAGAGAGAGTTACATTGTAGAGTACAAATTTGTTTTACACCTGTTCAAATGTTAGGTACAACTACACAAATTCTGTTCTACGGGTTGCATATCAAAAACCTCTTACATTCGCAATTTTGCTCCAAATGGTCTGGAACTACTGTTGCAAAACTATTTGTGCATTGTAACTTTGGTGTTTCGTAATTGCAGATTTTTTTAATCTGTCACAATTACAAAAAGTAGATACACCTCTTCAAATTACTGAGTACAAGTACGAAAATTGGTCAATCTGTACCAACTGGAAATACATACTGTACAGTATATGGCCTACTGCCATGTTGCCTTCCAAGGACCCAGCCCATGTATACCTTCGAAGTATGTGTTGGAATCTGGAGGCTTTGTCCACCTTCTCCACCAGAGGGCGCAAGAGATCCCTCCTGAGGGCATGAGCTGACTGCGACACCCGTTTTCCATCTGCTCATCAAGGAAGCCCTATTTAAGGAGGAGGAGGCTGACACTTCCCTGCCAGAGTGTTTGCCAGTAATGGTAGAGCAAGACCTGAGCCAATCTGCCTGATCTGTAACCCTGATTTGTGAACCTGTCTGATCCTGTTTTTCTCTGCCTCACAGATCCTGACTTTCTGAAAACCAGTAATCCTGGAGATAAGATCTCAGTCTGAAATCTGCCTGCCTGAACTCCGTTCAGTCTCTGCTTCTGCCCTCAGCCCTCTGCCTGCCGACTAGCCTCTGGACCCTCAAGGTTCCCCCCCTACTGATCAGATCCATCTCTGAGCAGGTATTTTACCCTGACACCTGTAAACTGCAAGTTCCTGGATCAATTCTAACTGCTCTGTCCTCCTCAGTGGTGTGCCTCCCGTGACCAGTCAGAAGAACCCAGATCCTGTGCATATCTTTGTACTTTGTAAATAAACCTTCTAACTTTTCCCCTGTCTGAAGTAGTGTTTTCTGCATGTGGGTTAGACGCCTTGAACCCAACATGACAGTATGCAGCCTTAGACATAGCTTTTACTGTACCTAACCGGATGTGCTCTTTTTCATTTTGACAGGGAAATCGTTTAGACTCATGTGGTTAAGTGTTTTTTTCTAGATAGAGCAATATCTGGTAACAGTTTATCATTATCTTTTCCACCATAGAAAGTATTTATACCAGTAGATCTCTGCTAAGTCTTGTACCCCAGTCGGCCTCAGCAGAAGGACGCTCACACTGAGCCTGGTTCTGGTGGAGGTTTATTCCTGTTAAAAAGGAGCTTTTCCTCGACATAATCAACAACGACATAATCCAAGTGAATATCCATTGTCTCTACATGCTCAGGCAGAAGGAGAAAGGTAATGAGACGATGGAAACATGAGTTTTTTACTATTTGCACATACATGAAGTGAAGTTTGGGCCCTAAGTGTCATGATGGCTTAATGTCTTAACCCATATGCAGAACACCACCACAGAGACGGAGATACAAGTCAAACAGTTTATTTGAAAAGCACACACAGAGTAAATTGTGCACTGGTTCTGGTACTGGTCTTGGTTTCACAGAGTAATCTGCAGATATGGATAGTTTGGTTAGCCAGGTGGTAACGATGATATGGCAGAGTTTAGATCTTGATTTGCACCTGATGAGGTCCAGACTGTTCAGTGGAGAAAGGGAACCGGTTGGGTCCAGAGACTGTGGTTCCAGCAGAGAGAGTTCAGCAGCGACAGAGCTTAGCTAAAGGCTAGCGAGCTTCGGACCTTGAGTTGTTCTAGTTCTCCCCTGAGAACTAGTTGGAAGATTCAGGCTGAGGATCTTTAGGTTTGGCTTCTTCGGGCAGGCAGGCCGGTTTCCAAACATGAGCTCCTCCAGAGCTACTGAGTTCAGTCAGGTTTCCAAAACTGGTCAACACTCCGGCGCTGAAGACAGGTCTGGTCGCTGCTTAAGTAGGGAAGGTCTCCTGATGAGCTGATGATCCTCAGGTGTGTAGAAGGCTCCACCTCAGGAGCCCCACAGCACTCTCTGCTGGAGACAGGTGGCAGATCTCCAGATCCCAACACTAAGTGTTCTAAGTCTTTACAGTTTTACTTTCTGAAATGAATGTCAAAATGTATTGTTTTTTAGAATGGTCACACTTTTGGACTACAATATTTGAGGTGATGAGGTAATGGTGCTCTTAAGCTAACATCACTTAGCTTAATTACCCCACCTGTCAACCACTCTTAAAATATTGACATCCTCTAGCTTCTTAACAGGGACGGATTTAGGAAATTTGGGGCCCTAGGCAAAGACAGGTATGGGGCCCTTTGAAATAGGAAGGCAACACATAAAACAGACCCATTATAAAGATACATAAAAAATTTTTATAGAATAGACATACAACTTGGTCTACCTTTTGTCCCTCCCTTCTTATCCTTTTTCTTACTATTTTCCTTTGAATGTTTTCTTTTGTGTGTTTTTATTTTCATATTGTCAATGTGCTCAGCTGACTTTTCATGCTTTCTCACAAGGAATCAAAGATTATCCAATCACTAAGCCCATTCTAACTTAGCTGATTGCTCCTTCCTGTGTTTCCAAAAAGGTGACAGCAAAAGTAAATAACCCAGTCCTTCTTTTCACTGTAGACAAGCCATGATCTGCGTATCTGTTCTCTATTTTTCTTTTAAAGGAAATTATAGCTGCATAAATCATGACAGAAGACAAGTTAGAGCAGAGCAGGAGGAGGGGTTAGGAATCTACCTGCTCTGGAGTGCAGAGTTTTGTGCTTTCATATGTTGTCACGAAAGTCAGTAACAGAAAAAAGTCACTGGATTTGTCATTAAGTGCCTTTTTGTAATAAAAGCGCTACAGGAGAATCAATCGCTAAGTCGCTAAATATAGCTACAAAAGCCTTATGTGGCAACACTGCTCTTCCCGCTGATTGTTTTCAAAGGATTTGCCGCTGTTTTTTGGACCTTTTTGCACATGTGCAGCAAATGGACTGATCAATGCGGTGGACACTGAAGGGGGGGGCGAGACACACTTAATATGGCCTTTTAACAAAAGTATTTTTATAAAGAAAATAAAAATTAATGTGCACAAATATGTAACTCCCTGTACATGTAAAGGGAGTTTTATGGGGCCCCAATGAACTTGGGGCCCTAGGCAACTTCCTAGTTTTTCCTAATGGTAAATCCACCCCTGCTTCCACACACACAAGAAAAACTCATCCTTTTCTAACAGGTTTGTGATTTCAAAAGAACTTTAAATGTCTAAGATAAAATACAACTCAGTTGGTAGTGCATAGTAAGTGCTTGTGTATTTTCTTTCAACCAGCCCCAGCTAATTTGTCTTAATTACACCATGTAGATCAATAGGCAGCATTTGCTTCTTACATTCCTACCTTTCTTGATTGTGACTTACTGCCATGCAACTGGAAGTGACTGTAAAGCAAGAGCATTCAATCCCATTTCCGAGAGAATTATAAATGCTTGTAATGCATTAGAAGAGAATAATTTGAGGAACATGATAAATGTATTTATCCCACTGGTGTTAGTGCTACTCTGCATTCAGCTGAGCAGCTACCATAACTAAATTGTGATGTATTGTATTATAGCAGAACAGAGGGGCAGTGGGAGACCCATAAAATCTGTAGGCAATGTAGCAGAGACAGATTTCTCATAATAGTAATTATAGATTTGGCAGCTATGAAATACAATATGCTCCACAGAACGTGGAACAATTAATAATGCTGGCCCAGAAACAAAGAGGTCCCATCCAGTCTTTGACTGCAAATGCCTTAGCAAGTTTTTTGTAAACGTTTTTTTACAAACCAGTGGTGAAAGTAATGTCTACTCATGTCCTAATTTAGTGCATGACCTAGAGCAGAACATTGAATAATTGGCAAATACAGATCTATCTTGTTGTTGCTTACCTGGACAAGCTAGGGCTAAACTGGACTCAAGTACTGGATCATTGCCTTTCATGTAAAAGGAAAGTCCTCAATTTGACCTGTGAACTTAAGCACCAGCTTTTTTATTATGCAACGACAGAAAAGCAAAGCAGTAAACTGCAGGTTGTTTTGTGGAAGGGCAAGACTTTTTTCTATGTAGAATGCAAAGAAAGTATATTACATTACCATTCTATAATTACCATTTCATATTTGCCCATTTCAAAAGCACATGTACTTGTTTGTGTGTTTTAGAACATATCCCTGGTGCATTATCTAAGTGCTCTTTTTGATAATAACTGGATTTATGCTAAAAGATTTTGCTAAGAATCTAAATTGTCATTTTCTTCCAACCAAAATTGTGGTTATTATGTTATGACCTTGAAATTTTTCCTATTTAAAGTCCAATTCTGCAGAAATTTACAGTTACTGCTGTGTGAAAATGTTTTACTTCTAGCTATCAGTCAGTGATCTTGATCTTGAAGATTTACAGCAACTAAAATTTGGCCAACTGTGTGGTACCAAATGTTCTTTAGGTGTATTACTGCCTCCTTAAAGACCGGAGTATGAAAGTCAGTTTAAGGGCACCTCTTTGATGTGAAAATTCTTTTTTGTAAAATTGCGGTTATGAATCATATTTTACATACAATTAATTGCCCAGCCCTAATACACACTGAGCCTGATTCTGCCGGAGGGTTTTTCCAGTTTAAAGTGAGTTTTAACAATTTCTCTCCACTGTCGCTCCATGCCTGCTCAATGTCAAAAAAAATTACTGTAAAGTCAATGGCACTATCAACACTGGGTTTGTTGTCACTACATCCTTATCCAATAAGAGAGAATCCTGAAAAAGCAATGTTTCAATGCAATTAGCAGGGTTATCTTCAACAGAAAACTTTTGACCAAAATATATTTTTCTTTTGTTCGAAATATTTCAAACAAACTATTCAGCCCTTATTATTTTCTTTTTACCATTTTGTTTGATAAAATAAATATCTGCAAGCAAGAAATGTAACACCAAGAGAGATAGAACGAAAGAGCCAGGAGGTATCAAACCCCAATGACTGACTGACTCCTTTCAGTGTTGAGGAGCAGTGGCTCTGTTTCGATTCTCCCCATCAACCTTAAATTTTCATCCTCAGCTCCTCTTTCAGAACTTACAAACGAGGCACCAATCTATCGTTCAAAGTGGTTCTTCAACTGCTCCACTGGAGATGCAACTGTAGGTTGGCTACAATGTGGGGCAGAGATTACGGTACTTTTGATGGTTCTTACATTCTCTAAATCTGTTGTGTACAGCGTGTCTCTTCTGCCATCATCTGATGCAGTAACAGCATCAGAGCAAATGACTGAAAGAAGCTCCACAAGCTGATAAAGAAGGCCAGCTTTGTTTTAGGAACAAACACTTCATAAAGTGAAGAACATTATGGACAACAGTGAGCATCCTCATCATCAGATTGTTAAAAAACAGAGTGTCTTCAGTCAGATGCTTCTCCAGATCCAGCGAAGTACAGACTGCTACAGAAGATCCTTCCTGCCTACAGCTATCAACAGAACAGCTCATTAAAAACTTTGTGAGAAACAACATTTAGTTTCCCTTTGGGATCATTAAAGTAGTTTTAAATTTACAAAAAGTGCCTTGATGACATACGTTCTGAATTGGAGCTGTATTAATAGACTATATAAAAGTTTTAATCCATTTTTATTCTTTCAATAGATTAAAATTGTTATGTAACATTATTTTCTTTTGCAAGGTAACTATTTTCTTACTAAGGCACCACTTTCACACAGATGACTGTGCTGTGTGGGCTGTCAGGATAGTGGGCACTGAACCAAAAGATTGTGAGGCATGATGGTTTTCTGCAGGCAGTGGAATTCATTTCTGTGAATATCAATGAGGTTTGAATTTTACTACGATGAAAACTGAAGGGGAAAAACAAAAATCCAGCACTTCAAAAGACAAAGTTTTTCCAAAAAATTCCCACATTTCTATCCATCTCATTTTGGGAAAGACAGTCTGCATCATTATTTACTATTCCTGCCAGTTTCTCAAGGGAAATCTGAGACTACACAGATATCACGGAACAAGAGGGAAGAATAACTCATCCTTCACCACCCTCAAGTACAGGAGCATGGGCTGCGTATAAAGTGGTGCAATAAATCCACGTCAGCTAAGAGATATTGGCTGGAGACCAACTAAAAATTGTTTTCAAGACAAAAAGTCTTAAAAGCTGTAACAAGTTATCCAGATAGAAAACATCCTTTTGTGAGAAGCAAAATAGGTCCAGAAGTGGACTGGATGTATATCTGATCTGTTCTTTAATCTAATATTTGAAGCAGAAATAATGTTATAGGTGTCATGATCTTGGCACTGATGACTGGATAATTCCACCTGCCAAGCTCTGCCCAGTTTTCACTACCTTTCATCAGATCCACCTGTTCCAGCTTCTACTTAAACTGTTTGGTCCCAGCCATCAGTGCCAACTTATTCGAGCCGTAGGCGAGAGTTCTCTAGAGTGCCCAGTTTGTTTGCTCTGATAACCTGATCCTGACTAGTTTCTACCTTTGGACCTTTAAACCAACCTGCCCCTGTTTGATCTGTGTGCTTGATCAGTCTCCAGGCTGCTGTTGGATTCTGCCTGCTTACGACCTTGGATCTGTCTACTGATCCCAGCTTGGATTTCCCTACAGTACCTCTTCAGATCTCTAAACTTCTGGCCTGGACAACTGTTTACCTCACTGTCAACAGCTTTGGTGTCTCCCTCTGGCTTCTCTCCATCGTATGCTGGCTCCTGCTCAACAGTCAAATCTGCAACCTTCTGGCATTGACTCCAGGTATTCTCTGGGCAGAGCTTGTATCGTGCTGTGTGAAATCATCAGGCCGGATTCTACTTCTTCCTCTGGGCTCGGACTGAACTTTATAACCAGGTTAGCGACTCACAAGCTCGTAATCTCCCTCCGTCAGAGTTTTGTGATCACTAACCTGTGTTTTGTCCTCTACAGAGATTCTGGCCTTTTTGTTCCAGCTGCTGTCGCAGATTTGTCGAGCAGTCAATAAACACTATTATCCAACACGTCAGTCTGTCTGCCTGAATTCTGGGTCCAAGGTTTAGGTTTCTGACAATAGGTGAAATAGTACACTGTAGATTAAAGGTAGGATTCTTACAGCTGTTACTGTTGTCATCCACTAGTATGATCTCCTTCAGAAGGTAGGGTGGTGTCCTCTGGATGACAGTGTGAATAGAGCGTAATAAAACTGAAAGGGCCTCATTGACGAAGATGAAGATCACACCGAGCTGAGGAAGGTCTGAAGAATAGGACATGTTTCTGCATCTGAAGAGAAGAAAAAGGGAAGGTTAGAGGCCTATATATATGAATAACAGCACATTTTAAGGAATGAAAGAAGTTTAAGGCACTGAGAATAAACTGCAACCTTAAACCGATTCATTCCAAAGTTTTTTCTTATTTTTATTACTAATTTCAATGCTTTATTGGCAAACCTTACGAAAAAAGCACTCAACACAGGTGCTAAAGAATCGCCGGACTATGTGTGGAACCAAATGTTTGTGCAGTGGCAAAGGACGGCAAATGTAATTAAACACAACTGGACTCAGGATGATAGCTTCCTCTTTAACCCGCTGCATTTGTCTACGGGAGATTCCCCAATGGAATTTGTTCCTCCCTGCATTTTTAGTGCACCTTCTGCAGGGATAGCTTTTCTTTAAATCCTATCTTCTTTTTACATTAGGTTTTAACAGTTACCTTCCTCGTTGCCAAAATGTTGATAGAATTAAAATCACTTAACATTTTATTTTGCAGAATTATTAATATAGTCCTTCTGGCTCCTCTGCAGTCATATGAAAAGTTTGGACACCCCAATAAATCTTAACTATTTTTATTTCTAAATATTAGGGTGTTTGTAACAGCTGTTTCAGTTTGATATATCTAATACTGATTGACACAGTAATATTTCAGTATTAAATTGAGGTTTATTTGACCAACAGAAAATGTGCAATATGCGTTAAAACAAAACTTGATAGGTGCAAAAATTTGGGTAAACTCATGTAAGTTTTCCCTGATGTCTCCAAGGTTCTGTTTTTTTCTGTATTTGTTATGTTTGATTTTTGGATTCCTGCCTCAGTTGCCTGTGAGTGCTTCATTAAATCTACAAAACTCACCTCTACCTCCTCAGCTCTGCATTTGGGTCCTCAAAACCTCAACCCAACCATTACAAACATTAAATTGAAAGTTTCCAAGGGTTTGTATATCACCATACCTGTTTCAATAACATGTTTATTCAATTTCTATAAATCTATATAAGTCCTAAATATGGATGATTTTTCTAATCTAATAGCAGTTGTTTTATGTGTTATTGTAGTGAATATGGGTGATTTTTGTCAGTTTTATGATCCAATAACAGTTTTAAAAAATCTGTTTATGCTTTATTGCAGTGAAATTGGCCATTTTTTTCAGTTCGTGATGTCAGTATATGCTTATTTTTTGTCAGTTTTATAACTTAATAACAGTTGTTTGCAGTTACAGTTAGTTTTGCCAGCTCTCTATCCAGCTGTTTTACCGCTAATGCAGGGAGATTGTTATGCCAGCCCACCCTGTCATCAGGGATGATCAGAAGATGATGATGATTTGTGTGAGACCCAGACTATGTCCCATCCACCTATAACCTGGAAATTCAAGGAACAAGTGAGACGGCCCCTTTTCTAAGAGGAGAAGCATGCAACATGCAGAGGATGTGCTCCATGATGAGGAGGATGATGATACGGTTGAGCACAATGAAGGCAACAAAGGACAGTCTAATGTTGCCTGCTGTTGTGGGATATGTTACAAAAATGTTAGTAAAAAATGTAATAAGTTATTATGTTAATAAGTTAAAATACTCACAAGCTAAGTAAAAACTCTGATAGCCAAATTTAAAAGTAAAAATTCTTAGTGCCTATGTTTGTACTAATGTTCTGAAATTTATTTTGTTACCAAACATGTCATTCCGTAAAAATTCAAAAAATATCCACTGGACTTGGTTTCCAAGATTTGAAGACGTTTCGCCACCTCTCCAGGAATTGAGAAAGCTTCCTGGAGAGGTGGCGAAACGTCTTCAAATCTTGGAAACCAAGTCCAGTGGATATTTTTTGAATTTTTACAGAATGACTATGACCTGGATGACTGAGAACCTACATCAGCTTACCAAACATGTGTTTCTTTCAATCTTCAAGTGTTTTGCATGTTTTTTGTTAATAGAAGCACAGTTTGGAATGTTTATTACTATATCAGGGCAAGCGATCGAGTTTGGTAATTACATTAATCTCATTTTTTTCCCATGAAAATGCTTTTTCTTGTATGTTACAAAAGTAAAGAGTTCTTCTTCTGTCCCCCATAAATTTTGAATTTCAAGGTATTTCAATGAGTCCATATGCATTGTTTATTTCATTGTCTTTTAATTGGCATTAGTTTGTCTTTCTGTTTATAAAATAACTAAAAAAAAGTTATAAACAGATTTTGTCGACATTTTCAGAGAAGGTGTGTATTGTGACTGGCAACAAATGATCACATCTTGGTAATGATCCCGATCATCATCTGGATCCAGCAATTTTCTTTCCAAGGTTCAGTGAATACAGGTATTAAGGTGGAAGTCACGGTATGTCACAGGAAACAAACTAGTTGGGAGAGGTCTGCACTCTCCAAGACCTTTTTTTAGTTTAATTTGTAAACTGTTTCTTGTGATAAAACCCACTAACTGAAAGACAGAGTAGGAAGTCCTCATTCCTCCATCCACAAATGTATAATATCACTTTTAGGTCTAGTTGAGTGGAATTGTGGCCTAATCAAAGTCTGCGGTAAAGACATAAATTCTGTAGAGATACCTTACTTAGAACAACACATTGCTTTTTCTTTAGCCGCAATAATCAGCCCAAAATCGCAGTCAGAATCGGGTACATAACTCAATAAAATTCTCTAAAGGTCCGAACACACCGGTTGCATACTGTATGACTTTTTAATCTCCAATTCGATTTTTTTCCATGTTACACTGACTACGTATAGAGCGGCTCCGACTAGGCACAGTGGGCAGATCTGCAGGGATTTTTTTTTATATATCTGTCTCTGTGCTATGCATGAGTTGAAACAATTTCACCACATTTGACTTTGATAGAATATAAAAGGTTATAAAAAATAAAAATAAAAAAAAACACCAGCACATTCTATAAAGCAAAGCCTCAATTTAGGGTTGTCAAAAGTATCGAAACTCAAAAAAGTATCGATACTGAAACGTTGTATCCGGATACAATACTCGTTTTTAAAAGTATCGATACAGTGCCGTCACCAGTGGCACCTAAGCAGTCATTCAGCTAAAGTGCAGAATAGAGGACAATGCACTTTCAGAACACTGTGTGATTGAATAATTCTACGCACTTTTCAGTTTCAGACTTTTTTTTTGTAACAGGTGCAGCTGCTGAGAATTATTTTTGTTTCTTAGCCGGTTTGGCTAGTGTCATTGTTATGTGTGCAAAGCATAGCCTAGGAAGGAACACTTAATTTTAATTTGATAAGTTTTTTATCAAGCTTGCTTAATATTATGCACAGCATACAACCTTTATTTTGTTTATTTATTGTATTTTATTTATTAATGAAAATATTTCTGTAGAATTTTGGAGTCTTTGTTTTTATCCTTGTGGTATCGAAAATGGTATCGAGTATCGAATATTTTCCTTAGTATCGGTATCGAGTTGAAAAGTTTAGTATCGTGACAACCCTACCTCAATTAACCAGTTTGTGCCGCATATCAAACCAGACTGTTCATATGTCTATAGTAAAAACATAATGACATTATACTGTATGCTGACTGAGGCAGAGAGGTGAATTTCAGAGAGATCTGAGAAGTTTATCAAAGTTTTTCATTTATTTTTGGCAAAGATGTGAGAGAGATATGTTGCGCTTACCTGATCTGTCTGCCCCTGTTATTTTGTTTTTGTGAGGCTCAAAGAGGATCACTACTTGATCTGTTTTCTGTCCTCCTTAACTCATCTCATGGCTAATGTATTCTTTTTTAATGTTTCATTTATTCTTTTTGCATGAGTCTGTCCCGGTTGCTATGTACATGATGTGCGACTCCAAAACTGCCTCTTTCTCCAAGGTGTTAACAGATTTATTTTGTATTTTTCCTCAAAGCAGATGTGTATTCATTTATAACCGCATCTCTCTTCCTGTCAGACCCATGAAATTGCTGCTGAATTGCTACGTAGTCCGACGGAAATAGACCTGGGGTCTATCTCAGTCTAACCTATGCAGTCTCCTTGCATAAAATCATGTCAGGTGTGATCCTCCCCATTGACTTACAATGAGTGCTATGCGCCACAACCTAGTCCAACACGATTTTATGTTGGATCGGATGCAAATTGGATTTGGTATGTTCTGGCCTTTTTTTACGGCATGAGTATCTGCATCATCAGACACTGAATATCTAACTCTGCTTAAATGAAGTCTTCGAAAAGAAAGCTTGATGTGAAAGTAAAAATTTATCAGATTATGTTATAGTTCCTAGGAGTGATATTTATACCTGGGTTCAAAATAACCAAGTGATAATTTATAGTAATATAGTAATATCACAAATTTAAAAGAAACAAATTCATTGAGAAGTTCAGACTATTTCATCCTTTTATCCTGATCTTTCTCTTAAAATGATCTAGACTTTGGAATCAGAAACAGAATTGTTTAAATTCATACAATGCCCGACCCCATAGAGGACTGACCCGTCTGGTCGTAAATCAGGAATGGGCCTGGTAAGGGAAATGCGGTCGCTCAGGTAGCCGTTGTATCCAAAGTAACGGAACTTTTTGAGGGCAACCCGTCGACTCTCTGGGCCAAGGTCACGTCCCCATTGATTGAACAGCGAGGAGGAGGGATCAGAGGCAGAGTCTGATGAAGATGCTGCTTCCTCACCTTCCTTCAGAGGGGTTTCTGTAGCAACAAAGAGATAGAAAAATCGGACAGCATTAACTTCACTGCAAAAAATCAAAATCTAGATAAGTCATTTTTTTCTTAAAATAAATGCTATTGTTCTTGAATTAAGGAGGTAAAAGAGACATTCTGCCAATGGAACAAGACAATTTACACTTAAAATAAGAAAACACTATTGCATTGTCTTATTTAAAGTGCATTTTATCTAATTATCTTATTTTAAGTTAAGTTAAAATTACTCATTCCATTGGCAAACTATCTCATTTACCTACTCCAATTAAAGGTGAATACACTTAATTAAGGATATTTTTACTTATTTCTAGATCGTTTTTGCAGTGTTTGAGTAAACTCCCTATGCACTGATCCTAAACAGAGAAATTTTGTTTTTGTTTTTACATCTTGTAAAGAAAGTGTTAAGAATTTATATAAAAAATATATATTTCAGCCATGTTAGGTACATCTCTATAAGGTTTTTATTTTTTATTTTTATCAAGCATAATGGATGCTCTGTTATTTTCATATTTGACTTCCTTGCTCAGGGCTTGATGGATAATGTGGGGTATGAGGTTAAAATCCAAATGCAATCTGAGCTGACAAGGATTTGTATCGTCATTCCAAACAGCGTTGGCAAATGTACTTGTGCAGAGGTGTACACAAATACGGTACTCTTATATGACCAAGCCGGATTTTCATTGCTATGTGTGAAGCACTAAGCTGCTTGCTGTACATGACTGTGAACAATAAAACATGGAAAATGCCTAAATCCTACATGAAAGCAGAATATTTCAAATTGCAATAATTCCTAAATGGGAGTTTCTAACACTCAACTAATATAAAATGTAATATATAGCTTAAAAAGCAGAGCTGCCTGAAGTTTTTCTACCTTTTTCTACACTAACATGGGGTCTGACAGAAAAAACACCCAGGCATAGGAGGAGTTGGGATGTGATAGTTTGCTGGTTTTGGTTAAAGGTAATCATCAGAGAGTAAATATTCATGAACTGAGATATGAGGAAACCAGAAGCATTGATGCAAACACAGAAAATGTGTTTAAAAAGTGGCTTTGATTGCAAGATTTTAAATAAATTAAAATTCATTACCGTAGAAGCTGCATAATTTCATATTCCTCACTTGAGAAAAAAAAAATCCTAAAATAAATTCAATACAATTTTTCATCCTAAGTGGATAATCAGATGTTTTGTTTTTCTTACGTGATTGCTGCCACATTCATTGGCACCGCAAAAAAAAAAACAAACTAAAAACGATATATAACTCAAGAAATGTCTGTATTTATACTGTATTTCTTGAGTTTTTCTTGTTGTCCAGAAGGACAAGGAGTGGCCATTTGATTTGCTTCTGACTTGAAATGTACTTAGGATGTTGGACCTCCATGCTGATTAATCACCTCAACGTTCCAACTATAGATTCCTCTGATGCATATAAACCAAACTGACCTATACACCTGTATAGTTGTCTAAACGTCTTCAAAGAAAAGGACTGAAGGTCTGGTTCCCCTCCAATGTTAGCAGGGTTTGGGGTTATTCTGGAAAAACAAACCCATTTTTGATGTTATATCTAAAGTAGAAGCTCTAGAGCAGCAGTATCCAACCACCGGGCCGCGGACCGGTACCGGTCCGTCAGTCATTTGGTACCGGCCGTACAGAAAAAAAAAAAAATATATATATATATAATCCGTATATATATATAATATATATATATACGATCAGAGTCTGAGTGATGTTTTATTTTGAAAAATACAAAACATTAGGGTATTCTCTCCCAATTACATCAGTCGGTGCATCTGTGCCTCTTGACACAGGTTAATTCAGGTCAAGACTCATCCTATCTATAACGACCTATCTTTGTGAAGCGGGATTTTCTGCGGTTTCAGCAACCAAACCAAATCTACAGAGCAGTATTGACATCAGGAGCACACTTTATGTGTCATTGTCTCCGGTTACGCCTAGATGGGACCGGTTTGTTTCGGAGAAACAAGCTCAGGGCTCCCAGTAATTCAACATAATGGTGAGTTTTATTTTTATGCTGTTTGTATTTGATTTTATGCCAGTCGTATCATTTTATTTGATCGTATTTACCCACACACTTTAAAGGGCGGTCCGTGAAAATATTATCTGACATATAACCGGTCCGTGGCGCAAAAAGGGTTGGGGACCGCTGCTCTAGAGAACAAGAGAGTAACTTAACAAATCATCAACTATTGTTACTGGCCACTAAGCTATTTTAAAAAAAAAATCTCCATTTCCAATTTTGGGAGTGTATCTTCTATTATCCTCAAAGCAGCAAACAAAGATGTTGAGGGAGCTGGGAACAAATTTAAATTAATCTACTAATTAATTAAATATTTTATTAAATTTGTCCCATTAAAAATCAACAAACAAAATAATAAAACCTTTAATGAAGTGGGAATGTTTGTAAACCTGTGTTTTCTCCTTTTAATTTCAAAACACGACACAGACCTGCTGCTAAGAAATTTGCACAGAACAAATGGGGTCTCCTCAGTGCCATTTTTTCCCCACATTGAAATGAATTATGACACAAACATTTAGGAGAATGTCTGAGTCAAAATATTTATTTCACTCTGAAGAACCAGGGCTTCTTGCATAGGAGTTTACAAATTTCATACTTTAGGATGGCTTACTCCATCCCCACCCCTAAATACATATCAAAATCAGTATAAATACCCTGAATGCACCCACTGCTTGTCAAAATAACTATGGCAACGATACTGTAGGCCATAACAGAGGGACTTTGTCAACAAGTGTCAGGGAGATTTATTACAGCCGACTACCAACTTATTGAGTACCATCAGCATGAAGAAGGAAACTGACTGAAAGTAAAGAGGTATTTTGACTCGTACCTGTTTTGTTTTAAGATGTTTAGAAGAAGTCAAAAGAAATAAATAAAATAAAAAAACAAAGCCTGCTTAAAGTATGTTCACAATGCAACTATTTTTTGGAATGGTTATAATTATTATAACAATAGCTATAAAGGATTCCTGAGTCAAGCTGAGCCGGCCAATGCTTCATATGTGAGACATCTTTGCACATCACAATTCCATGCAAAGCTTTCTATTAAAGGTCCCATATTATACAAAACTCATATTAAAAATATTTTTTAAAAGTCATATGTATCCTGATGCCTGTGTATGAGGCTCACAAATAAAAAAATCCCTTATATTTCTGTCACTGCCTTTCTCTACTCTTATCTAATCTGTGCTCAAAATACTCCCTTTGAAAAGCATTCTCCTTATGATGTCATAAGGGGAAATCAGCTAAAGCCTTCATCTAATGCATTGCTCCATGCTTCTTGCCTCTACCTTTATGAACTCCGACTGGTTGTCATGATTGCGGGTTATGGGGGTGCAGACTTTGGGAGAGACTGAGTGTGGTAAGCCAAAAAGGCTCGTCCAGTTTTTGATTCACACTGTCGGCCTAATCTGAGAGAGATTATCCTGAACAAATAACAACACATGCTCTGGGGGCCTCATTGTTTTTATTATGGGGCCTTCAATAAAGTAAATGTGACATTTATTGATTGTATCGGTAATATGGAATGGTAAATGGCCTTTACTTTTATAGCTCTTTTTCAAGTCAGGAGACTTGACCAAAGCACTTTACAATACATTCAGTCATTCACACACACACTGATGGTGGCAAGCTACATTGTAGCCACAGCTGCCCTGAGGCTCACCTACAGAAGCGAGGTGCCAGCAGACCCTCTGTCCACCATCAGTGGGCAATGCAGGTAAAGTGTGTTGCCCAAGGACACAATGACAGTGAAAGTTGGAGCTGGGGCTGGAACTGACAACCTTGTTGTTGCAGGGAATCCGACGCTACTGTTGCCCATGCAGTCATAGATATAATTCCACTTGGAAATCAGCTCCTCAAATGAAACTGAGATTTGATGTGAATGTTTAAGGACATTTTTAAGGTATTTTATATATCTGAGCAACACATGGAAAAAGGTATTATGAGGACGGCTCATGGTAATTTACACAAACCCAGCCCGTTAATCAGCCCCTTAAAAAATTGCACATCAGAATCAGAAATACTTTAATAATCCCAGAGAGAAATTACTTTTGTTACACGCTCCAGTTACAGTTTTATATATATATATATATATATATATATATATATATATATATATATATATATATATATATATACACATGTCCAACTACACAAGATAATAATAATAACTACACAATACTACACACATATATATATATATATATATATATATATATATGCATACGTAAAACTAAATCCAAGTTAAGTGATAAATCCAAGTAAAGTGATACGCGGCGTGCAAAAATAGTGCATAAATGTCAGTTACAGGGCAGGGGTCTGAATCACTTGAGGGAGGCGTTATAGAGGTTGATGACCACAGGTAGGCATGATTTCCTGTGGCGCTCTGTGGTGCATCTGGGTAGGAGGAGTCTTCTGCTGAAGGAGCTCGTCTGCTGGACCAGTGTGTCGTGGTGAGGATGTGAGTCATTGTCTAAGATGGACTGAAACCTGGACAGCATCCTCCTCTCTGCCACGGTGGTCAGAGTCTCCAGCTGCTCCCCCACAACAAATTGCACATTGCCTTAGGTCAGGGGTCTTCAACGTTTTCCAGGCCAAGGACCCCCAAACTGATGGCGAGATGGAGCGGGGACCCCCTAATTATATATATTGTATATATCTATTACAGATGTGGTAATGTAATGAAAGTAATTTCGCCCTGGGATTATTAAAGTATTTCTGATTCCGATTCCTCATTGAGGTGTTGTGATTGAAACGGTGCCCAGCTTGAAAGAGCTCCTGTGTCTTTCAGGTTATTGTGATTTCAAAAACATTTCAACATATCTTCATGAACTTTTCATAAAAAATAAAAATTGTAATTAATACATTTTAAAGGTTATTATTATTATTATTTTTACATATATTGCTATATTGCTCTATTGAAGCTTCATGGGTTAAGCTAATTAATCCTCA